AGAGCTGCAATAGAAGGAGAAAGAGCTCAGGTTGTATAACTATATAACCCTTGTTAGGGGTAGGAAGACCAGATGGGATATGAGGAAGGAGTGAAGGTAAGGCGATGAATAAAGACGTATGTCAGGGCCGGAGTCTTGGAACGCCGGGGGTTCGATCCCAAAGTATTGCATCAATGTTTTATCACTGATACAACATATTGTTGCGATTTTATTGTGCACAAATAAAGACATTTCTTCCCTTTAACGGTAATAATCCGCGACGTCACGACGAACCAGAAACTGTCGCCTTACCATGATATTTTTAACGTAAGTTTCTTGGACGAAGGAAATCCAAGATTTTTATATCTTTACGAAACTTTGTAATTAGAATCTGCTTTTGTTTTCTTCTTGGGAGGTGGCAGGCGGAAGCCTTTTGCAAGAGCAACAACAATACGAGATGGCACTGACACAGTGTCATACTGGCACTGACAGTGTCATACTGGCACTGACAGTGTCATACTGGCACTGACAGTGTCATACTGGCACTGACAGTGTCATACTGGCACTGATAGTGTCATACTGGCACTGACAGTGTCATACTGGCACTGACAGTGTCATACTGGCACTGACAGTGTCATACTGGCACTGACAGTGTCATACTGGCACTGACAGTGTCATACTGGCACTGACAGTGTTATACTGGCACTGACAGTGTCATACTGGCACTGACAGTGTCATACTGGCACTGACACAGTGTCATACTGGCACTGACACAATGTCATACTGGCACTGACAGTGTCATACTGGCACTGACACAATGTCATACTGGCACTGACAGTGTCATACTGGCACTGACAGTGTCATACTGGCACTGACAGTGTCATACTGGCACTGACAGTGTCATACTGGCACTGATAGTGTCATACTGGCACTGACAGTGTCATACTGGCACTGATAGTGTCATACTGGCACTGACAGTGTCATACTGGCACTGACAGTGTCATACTGGCACTGACAGTGTCATACTGGCACTGACAGTGTCATACTGGCACTGACAGTGTCATACTGGCACTGACAGTGTCATACTGGCACTGACAGTGTCATACTGGCACTGACAGTGTCATACTGGCACTGACAGTGTCATACTGGCACTGACAGTGTCATACTGGCACTGACACAATGTCATACTGGCACTGACAGTGTCATACTGGCACTGACACAATGTCATACTGGCACTGACAGTGTCATACTGGCACTGACAGTGTCATACTGGCACTGACAGTGTCATACTGGCACTGACAGTGTCATACTGGCACTGACAGTGTCATACTGGCACTGACAGTGTCATACTGGCACTGACAGTGTCATACTGGCACTGACAGTGTCATACTGGCACTGACACAGTGTCATACTGGCACTGACACAATGTCATACTGGCACTGACAGTGTCATACTGGCACTGACACAATGTCATACTGGCACTGACAGTGTCATACTGGCACTGACAGTGTCATACTGGCACTGACAGTGTCATACTGGCAATGATACAGTGCCAGTATTCAAGTTGAGATTTCAATGTACAGTGTAAGGGTAGGATATAAAAGCCAGCTTGTGCTAAGGGTCCAGGGATCACAGTGTCCCGCGGCCCGGTCTCTGACCAAGCCGGATTGACCAGACCGTACCTGGATTGTACCTGGATGGGGTTCTGGGAGTTGTTTTTCTCCACAAGCCCGGCCTGAGGCCAGGCTTGACTTGTGAGAGCTTGGTCCACTAGGCTGTTGCTTGGAGCGGCCCGCAGGCCCACATATCCACCACAGCCCGGTTGGTCCGGCACTCCTTAGAGGAAACTATATAGTTTTCTCTTGAAGATGTCCACTTCAAGAGAAAATAGCCTGATTGATCAGGATCAGTCTGATTGATCAGCTACCGGTCTGAATGATCAGATATCAGCCTGATTTATTAGATAGCAGTCCCCGTGGCGCACTGGTAAACCCCCCGGCCGGCGCTTTGCAAGGGATTTGGCCTGGGTTCGTATCCTGGCCGGGGAGGATTGACTGGGCACCAATCCTGTAGCCTCTGTCCACCCAGCAGTGAATGGGTACCTGATTGTTAAACGATTTGGCGGGTCGTATTCCGAGGAAAATTAGGATTAAGGACCTGCCCGAAACGCTATGCGTGCTAATCGCTTTACAAGAATGTAAGGACGCTTGAATATATATATTTAAAATAAATAAAATAAAAATAAATCCGGCTAGATTTGATATATAACAAAAAACGATGACACGTTTTCTTTGGTCGTAGATCAACAGGATTTAAATATAGAAAACGAGGAACAAAGGAAAGCGGCTGGTAGAGGGGTGACTCAAATAAAACCGATTACCTCGAGCAAGGCTCTGCCCCCTCCTGTCTGCCTAGGTTCTCGCTCTATTTGGCTCCCGCCGTCAAGTTCCAGCTCTAATATGGTTCCAGCTTTATATTTGGGCTCTAATAGGGTCCTAACGTTATGCTCCAGCTCTAATAGGGGTCCCAATGTTATACTCCGGCTCTAATAGGGTCCCAACGCCATGCTCTTAATAGGCTTCTAGTGCCATGCTGCAGGCCTAATAGACTCACAATTGTATGCTGCAGGAAGAGGCTTCCACTGCTATAATCCTGGCCAAGCTGGTTCCCAATTCCATGCCCTATATCTGATTGGCTTCTATAAACTGGAGACTCTTCTGCTTTATAGGCTTCCAGGAAGGAAGCAAAGGTTTACAGCAAAAGCAGACATCAGAGCGGAGAGTTTTCCGTGGCGAAGTGGTAGCACATTCGCCTAGCGTTTCACGAGCCGTTTGACCTGGGTTCGTATCCTGGCCGGGGGAGGATTTACTGAGCGTAAATCCTTAACTGTAACTGTTCCAGCATGGAACCCTTACCCGAAAAAGGACAAGGAAAAAACTAGAAAAGGTCCAAAAATATGCAACGAGACAAGTTTTGGAACCGAGGGGATTGAGCTATGAGGAATGACTGAGAGAACTGGACCTTACCGCTGGACCTTTAGCTTAAGGACGTGTTCGAAACGCTATGCGCGGTAGTGGCTTTGCGATAACACTACACTCAAACCCCAATATAAGTACTTTCTCAACCCGGTGTATCTTCGTGTATACAAATACACAAATAACAAAGACAATTCTAAGGCAAATTGACAAAGTAGACAAATGCAGCGTTGTTCAGAGCTAAGAACAGCAGAACGAGTGGCCATGGATGGAAACTGGAGACGCAAATGAGTCACAGAGAAGTTAGAAACAACTTTTTTTCAGCGTTAGAACTGTCAATAAAAGGAATTGGTTAGACGTAGAGGTCGTTGAAGCTAATTCGATTCACAATTTTAAATGTAAATATGATAAAACCGCGAGAAATGAATCATTGCATTAATCTAAGACCGTTTGGAAAGCGAGGCTACAGGAGCCTAGCTTGACCCCTGCAAGCACATCTAGGTGAGTAGAGAGCAGCGGATACGATATACATTAGATTAAGTGTCTCTAAGACACTCCGGCTGGTTGTATATTGATTTGAATTTGCCTCTCAGCTCCTGCTTTCCCTTAACACTCCCCTCACACTGTGTCACACTCCCAAACATTTAGCAGTTGGAAATACAGATAAGAATTCATGGAGACATTAAAATTATCACAAGGGGACTACCAGGAGGTGACTGGAACCTGCAGCCCCTCTGTAAAAAAAAAAACTGGAATTTACATTGGGTTGTAAACAAGGAGGGAAAGCAGTTTACGACCTTTAAATAAAGGAAGTTATAGGACTTAAAAATAAGGGCTTCCGCCCTAGTAGCCTCGGGACGGCCGCGCGCGGTCTCCAGCGATAAATTTGGCGGGAAAGCGAGGCTTTGAACCCAGTAAACCTTTTCCTTCAAGTTTACCCACCAATAACGTACCAATTTTTTTTTTAATCAATTTTTGGGTTTTTGTTTTGAATTGGACTTTAGGTGTGCCAATCTTTGGAGGGGTTATTAAGCCCACCACAACAGCTTAATTGACCAATCAGCAAGTATACTTTTGATAAACCTAAATACAAGTTTCTTTTTCCCTACAGCTGGAATCCATTTAAATAGCATTGACTAACAATAATATTAGTAATAATTCATACAGTCGGGGGGGACAGGATGCCTGTGTATATATATATTTTAGGCTTGTATCAAGATCCACCCCAAGGTCGAATTACTGACCCTCCCCAGGAAGCAACCCCATAAGAGTTACCTGACACCCATGCAGGTACCTATTTGCCGCTAAGTGAACAGAGGCATTAGGTGGAAGGGTGACCAACCATTTCTGTCCCACCTAGTAATCGAACCCGGGATCCCGAGTGTGAGTCGTGAACAAAGCCACCTGTACCACGAGGCCCTCTCATAAAGATAATATTTTCTTTATAAAACACAAAAAGATTAGATTAAAGAGATACGTACTTAGCGGACACAGGATTTGAATATATTTTTTTAATTCTACTAATTATGTACCGCATTTCGGGCATAATTAGCGACTTTGTGTAATCTACAATTACTGTACCTAATAAGGAATCACTGTAACATATACCTTTGTATATTTTATGAATAAAATATTGTTGGCAGTAGTGTTTACATGTCGTTGTTTACATGCCTCAGGATTTATCTCTCAGAAACTGCTCTCTGCGCTAAAATAGATTGTCAATATCGCTAAATATTTCGTGTACAGCTTTATAGTTCATAGCTATTGTATAGCTTTATAGTTCACAGATATTGTGCAGCTTTACATTTCATAACTATTGTGCAGCTTTATAATTCATAACTATTGTACAGCTTTATATTTCACAGATTTTGTGCAGCTTTACATTTCATAACTATTGTGCAGCTTTATAATTCATAACTTGTGCAGCTTTATATTTCACAGGTATTGTGCAGCTTTAGCTTCTATGCTGTGCAATTCGAACCTATTTCTTATAAAAGCTTCTCGTTAAAAATTCCACTTTCTATTTCTTTTTTTCTCTGTCCACAGGTGTTCTTAATGCCTCACTCCCACAACGACCCGGGATGGCTGAAGACCTACGAGGAATATTACTTCCACCAGACCAGCAAGATCCTTCAGAATATGATAGAGAAGCTCAGGGTTCACACCAACATGACTTTCATATGGTCCGAGATCTCTTTTCTATCGCTATGGTACGAAAGGTAAGTCAGAAGTGGTTTGGTGTTTAGCTATCACGGTTGAACTAAAGCCTAGCTCTTTATGCCCCATCTGACGTTCGAATTATTTGTTAGGCTTTTAAGACCTATCAATCGTGGCATGTTTAAGACTACGGTAGTGGTTTAGTGCTGTGATCTACAAGTCAGGCTACGAGCAGAGGCGTCTAACAGCCTAGCTGGTTGACCAGACCGCCAACCAGGAGGAGGCCTGGTCAGAGACCGGGCCGCGGGGGACATTCATTCCAGAATCATCACAGGGTTATAGTTACAGATGGGTACAAGAACATATTCACCTGAATTGACCTGAGGGTCACTCTAGTGGCTTCCATGACGACTTCAATATGTAGCATTTCGAACTCCTATTAGTGGACGTTTAAGTGATACTTAATATCAATAATTTACATGTATGAAAGAATTTTAGCGGCTTTATACATGCATGTCATAAACGTGTAATCAATGTGTGCATCAATATGCACGCCAGAAGGATCTTTCAAAATAGATACAGTAAAAATTCACTGCAAAAAATTGAGACACATTAAAAATGTCAGAAATTGAGACACATTAAAAATGTCAGAAATTGAGACACATTAAAAATGTCAGAAATTGAGACACATTAAAAATATCCAAAAGTAAATTATTTTACGTTGCAGTATTCTCACCCCCGATGTGTCTTGAGCCCGTTTCGTAAGAAAGATTTGTAAACCCGCCTCCTACGTAAGCCCTCCTCCTAAGATTCGTAAGCCCGCCTCGTAAGAGAGATTCGTAAACCCGTCTCTTAAGAGATATTCGTAAGCCCATCCAAGATTCGTAAGCCTGCATCATTAACCCATCACATAAGCCTATTTCATAAGCCCATCTCCCAAGCCAGCAAAGTAGGCCAGCCTCATAATTCTATGCAAGAATATGCCGATATAACTATTGTAGATGTATGAGGCTAGGAGACCCGGGATGGCAAGAGGCTGGAGGGGGGAGAGGGAAGGCACGTAGCTATGTTTTCATTATAAGTTTTGTGCGTCGCGTTAATTCACCGTCGTTGGCTGCCTGGCTGCCTGGCTGGCTGCCTGGCTGGCTGGCTGGCTGGCTGGTTGGGCAGGCTCACTGGCTGACCGCTTTGGTACCTGCCCAAGGGGCACCGCTGGTGGAAAACGACGGACGGTACTTAGTGAACGGGCTCACCATAGCCCGTGCTACTTGGAACTTTTTGTTCCAGGTAGCGAATCTTTAACAACAACAACAACAACAACATTAGTGAACAGTACGTAACGCGGCTGTTATAGACTTTCTGTTCCATACATTATCCCCGTTAGACCAAGCTCTCGGGCCGGGCTTGGGGAGTAGAAGAACTCCCAGAACCTCATTCAGGTACAATCCAGCTGATGTTATTTACTCACCTAGTACTTTTTAATTTACAAGTACAACCGAGTCAATATAATTTCTTACCACTTTGTTAATATAATAATTAAGTATATTCAAATTATATATATATATATATATATATATATATATATATATATATATATATATATATATATATATATATATATATATATATATATATAAAACACTGAACCGCAATGCTAATCCTGACCTTAACGCTTCCTAGAGGGCTGTAACAGAACCCTTGGGCACCTCACTAAAACAAATGTCTGATATTCCAAGAGTGCGTCTTAACCAAACCAGAAATGCTATAGAAATCAAGGGTCCCAAAATGTTCAATGACCTTCCTAATCACATCACAGACAGTCCTTCTCTCAACCAGTTTAAAAGAGAAACTAAGACCTACTTGATACACTCAATGTAACCTGGAGGCCTGGTCGAGGACCGAGCCGCGGGGACGCTAAGCCCCGAAATCATCTCAAGATCGTCCCTTACAGCCCCGCTCCTGGGCCAGGTAAGTCCACTACGGGCTCACCATAGCCCGTGCTACTCGGAACTTTTGTTCCGGGAAGCTGAGTCTAAAACAACAACTTCCTTACATCCTTACATCCTAGATCTCAACCGATGTTTTGCTGTTATTGAACATTAATTACTGAACCTGTGCTGCCCCCTGTTATCTGCACTGTACAAACATGATAAACCATTGTATTCCTCCTGGTCGTCTGTAAAATGACTATCTGTTGTTCAGCTACAGTTTTAGTTAGCTACAGCTGTTGTTCAGCTATAGTTACGTGTTCCATCTATCACGTAATAATTATTATTGTATTTCTATTTTCTACTTCAACATTGTCTTCGATCTCATTTAGTTTTAAATCTGTGGAGTTTTTCCCCCACATTATGCAGAAAAAGACCAGAGTGTTAGTGGTTTTACGTATCTGCCAATCCATGCAACAGGTGGCTTTAGGCTACGTATCTGCCTACCTATTCAACAGGTGGCTTATATCTTGTGTGTGTGTTTGTACTTTAGCCTCGGTAAAAGAGAGAGAGAGAGAGAGAGAGAGAGAGAGAGAGAGAGAGAGAGAGAGAGAGAGAGAGAGAGAGAGAGAGAGAGAGAGAGATACGTGTGTGTAATTCCCTAAGTGATTACAAGATGAGAGCTACGCTCGTGGTGTCCCGTCTTCCCAGCACTCTTTATCGTATATTACTTTGTAACTACTAACGGTAGTTTCAGGGGTGTGTGTACTCACCTAGTGGTAGTGTATCAGCGCACCTAGTGGTAGTGCTATACACACACACACACACACACACACACAGTGTGTGTGTGTGTGTTTTACTATTTGTGCTTGCAGAATCGAGCTATCGAGCTATTAACTCTTGGACCCCGCCTTTCTAACCAATCTATTTTTCCTCTATTTTTTCCACTACATATATTTATCTGTAACACGCACACACAGGAAGCAGCCCGCAGCAGCTGTCTAACTCCCGGGGCATCAGGTGAACAAAATATCAGATCAAGATCAGATCAGAACAAGACCCTGCTCACCCTGCGTCAGGTTTCTTTCAGGGTGAAAGAAATTGCCCATTTATTTCCGCCATGGACCGGAATCGAACCCGGGCCCTTAGTTTAGGACTACGACCCCCCTAACGCTGTCCACTCAGCTGTGAGGCCCCAATATGTATATATGTGTTTGTGTGTGTGTGTGTGTAATTACCTAAATGTAATTACCTAAGTGTAGTTACAGGATGAGAACTACGCTCGTGGTGTCCCGTCTTCCCAGCACTCTTTGTCATAAAACGCTTTGAAACTACAGACGGTCTTGGCCTCCACCACCTTCTCACCTAACTTGTTCCAACCGTCTACCACTGTTTGCGAAAGTGAATTTTCTTATATTTCTTCGGCATCTGTGTTTAGCTAGTTTAAATCTATGACCTCTTGTTCTTAAAGTTCCAGGTCTCAGGAAATCTTCCCTATCGATTTTATCAATTCCTGTTACTATTTTGTATGTAGTGATCATATCACCTCATACAAAATACACAAGCTAAATTGAATCTAATTCATTTAGCAAGCTAAATGAATTTAGCTTAGCAATCATATCACCTCATACAAATACTCATACACACACACACAAATGTGTGTGTGAGTGTAAATTAATTAATTAATTAATCCAAAATGTCTTCGACAGAGCTCATCCAACATTGCGGCAACAGCTGAAGGATCTAGTGTCGTCGGGTCGTCTGGAGGTGGCTACGGGCGGCTGGGTCATGACGGATGAGGCTAACGTTCACCTCTACGCCATGCTCGACCAGCTCATTGAAGGTGGGAACCCCAAGACAGTGGGGTAGTGAGGTTGTTAGATGTCTGGAGGAGTTGTGGAGGGTTGAGCATCCTGGGAGATGGAATTTTCCTTCTATTATACCCTCTCGTCTCCATGTTTCACCATGTCAATGATGTCGGGATTCTTAGTCTCATGGTATGGACTCAAAAAGAACCTGTACTTGAGGTCGATCTCGAACCCATTGTTGATGTGACGACTTACATTGAATTTTGTAACTAGCTCATCAAGATTGTAACTTGCTTAGCTAAATGAATTGTAGGGTTCAGTCCCTGAGCCCATTATGTGCCTCTGTAACCCTTTCCACTACCGCCCTCAAGATGGGTATGGGGTGCATAATAAATGAACTAAACTAAACTGCCTCAAATGTATTTACTAGGCATTTAACAATTAATAATAATTCATTATACAAATAATTCATTGTGTCGGGGGTACAGGCAGCTAGAGTGTATTCATACACGCTAGGATTATACAAAGGCTAGGCTTATATAATTTTTTCAGATAATCTTTTCCAACTGGACTTTGAATTGCAGTAATGTCTTGACGGTTATGGCTTCAGCAGGTAGGCAGTTCCATGGGTAATTTCACCTGTAGGTGAAAAAGCATCTGTTTTCTATCCTACATTGTGGCTTGTTGAATTTGAGTATCTTGGTACCTTGAACTGTTGCCCCTTGTTTAGTTTAGTTCTTTTATTATGCACCCCCATGCCCATCTTGAGGGCGGTAGTGGAAAGGGTTACAGAGGCACATAATGGGCTCAGGGACTCGCCCCCAAAATGAATTTAGTTTAGCAAGTTAGTCTTGATAAGCTAGTTACATAGTTGCAAAATTCAATGCACATTTTCCTATCAACAATGATAGAGACCAACCACATGTACAGTTTCTAAATTAAGCAACTGACATATGTGGAGAACTAGTGTCATAGTTTATATATTTATCCTGCACACCGCCCCCCCCCCCCTCCCCCCATCTAGTGGGCAGCGGTGGTTAGGTTACAATCACTTGTTCGTGTTACATCTAATCTTTTGAAGACGTGGTCTGGATCAATATCCTCCAAATTGTTCAATATGGACAAATCCACAAGGGCCGTGACGAGTATTCGAACCTACGTCTGAGAGCATCCCAGACGCTGCCTTAATCAACAGAGCTACGACATGGTCAAAAGAGTTGAAACCAGAAGTTCTATTGCAGCCTCTCCGAGACACAAACCTTGTGGATTTGTTCATTGATGCATCACGCTATTGTGATTTCTGTGTGTAATTGTTCAATATTTTATAATTGAACAATTTGGTGAGATCCACCCTGTCGTATCTGGTTTGCAGTGTTAGTCCTGTGACCCTCATCCATTCCTGATATATGAGTAGACTTAATTTTGGAATGGATTTTGTAACTCTTGTGTTGCACTGCACTTCCAAAACAGATACAGTATGTCACTCTGAAGATGAGGTCTCCAGAAATTGGATGCAGTAGTGCAAATGTGGATGAACCAGATATTCTTCCTTGAAGGCAATGTCCATTTGACTATTTCTGGGGTTTGGTTGCCTTATTTTTGCTGCACTTGATGTGCAACTTTTAATGACTGGTGGATTCTGAGTCCTGGGTAATTTTCCCATCTGTTGCATGGTTGTGTGTTGATGTACTTGTTGTGTTGTGCATTATTATGCCCTACCTGCTAGGTTTTGCATTTGTCAGTGTTAAAGAGCATTTACCAGTCTTCCAACCATTTGCATAATTCATGTTGAGCTTTTTATAAGGCCTCAACATTATATTCACTTCCTACTTTACCACAGATCTTAGGGTCATTTGCAAATTTGATAATGTGGTTTCTGACATTCTCATCTATGTCATTGATGTATCCACTACATATATTTCTCTGTAACACACACACACAGGAAGCAGCTTGTAACAGGTGTCTAGCTCCCGGGGCATCAGGTGAACAAAGTATCAGATTTAGATCAGATCAGAACAAGGCCCTGCTCACCCTGCATCCAAAGGGCCAATCTTGGCATCTTGGGGCCAATCCAAAAAGGATTGGCCCCAAGATGGAACTTTGTGGTACCCCTCTTACCACATTTCTGCAGTCAGATTCATTTCCATTTAGGACAACCTTTTGATTTCTTTGTTTTAACCATTATTTAATCCATTCCATGTTTTAATCCATTCACACTATTTATTCTGTGCTTGCAATTTCCTTGCCAGTCTGTCATGTGGTACCTTGTCAAAAGCTTTAGAGGAGTTCATGTATATTTAACTGCTGGAAGTCCTTTGTCTTAATAGCTGGTTACCATCTCCAAAAAAAGTGAGCAGCTTAGTAAGGCAGGATTTAGTTTTAATAAAATCATGTTGCACTGATTTTATTAGACTGTGCACTGTGAGATAATGAATGATTCCCCTCTAAGGATTCTTTCCATGAGCTTGCAGATATGCGAGGTTAGGCTGATCTGTCGGTAATTTTCTGCTGAGCTCTTTCTGCCTTTTTTTTTTTAAGATAGGGATGACATTTGCATACACGTAATGGTATCTCCAATTCAGGGGAACTATCCCTTGGTCCAGAGATTTTCTGAAAAAGAGATTCAGTGGGAGATACAGTTCATCTGCCAGTTCCTTAATAACTTTTAACTGAATTCCATCAACACCTAGGGATTTTGAGTCCTTTACTGTCAATGCTCATCCTGATTGCATTGGACTTATGGCAATATACCTTAATTGATTTTCTTCCCCTGCTTCAGACATTTGTGTGGATATTGGGATATTGTCTACCCTTTCTAGTGTGAACACCCATGTAAAGTATTCATTGAAAGTGCTAGCTGCCTTTTTTATCATCAATTATAACTTGGTTAGTCTCATCTGCTAAGGGGCTTTAGTCTGTTATTGAGTCTTTTTGTCTTTGTTTTACTTTTTATGTGGACATAAAAATACTTTGGGTCTTTTTTTGTTTTGAGCAAGTTTTCTCTCATAGTTCCTTTTCGCTGATCTGATTTCCTGAATACACAGCAGAATTTATTGTATTTCTGTTTATTTCATAATTTGTGATTCCTGTTGGATTGCTATTTCTTCCAGTGGTTTTGCTTTGTTATAGCTCTTTTTACTGCCCCTATCATTCATCTAGTTATTTTGTATTTCCTTCCTCTTGGTGCATATTTTTTAAAACGTCCAGTGATGGCACTTTTATCATTTTTCAATGAAGCTTCACTGTCTTAATCATTAACTCCCTCCAGGAGATATTTTGTATTTTCTGTCTCATTCTATGATAGTCTCTTCCAAGGTACTGTACTCAAGAAAGTCATTATCCTGAACCTTTATAAAGGTTTCTAGAATTGTGTTCCATCTCAGAACATTGTGATCACATGAAGAGGGGGTGAGTTTCTCCCCTGATATTAGCACAAGATCTAGAATGCTGTTACTTTGGGTGGGCTTTGTCACATGATGTACAAGTCCTGTACCAGGTCAAGAAATTTTTTTCCTTCACCTATGATGCTAGATTTTCTGAATCTATTGTCTTGTGAGTGAAGTCTCCAATTTTAAGAGCATGGGCTTCAGCTGCCACATTTATCACATTATGCAGATCTGTAATTTTCTCGGCTGAAGCTGTCTGCCCTACAGCATACTCCCATGGGGTTTATTATCCTATCATGAAAAAAAACATATATTTTCTGTCCTAAATTATGGCTTATTGACTCATTGTTGATAAGCTTAAAGGCTATCATTATGTTTCCCCATTGTGATATTTGCTGCTGATGCATGACAGGTGATGACAAAGGGTGGAGTCAACAATCTACTCAAATCCAGCCTACCTACCTCTTCCTCTTTACTCACATGTATGGTACCAAATACATTACCATCCTTCTGCAAGGATAATTTTTTGTTAATTAACATACCATAGGTACATTCACTGCTTTTATGTTAAAAAGTTGTCATGGTTTCTACTTTGGCAGGTCACCAGTGGTTATCAAATGTCCTAGGAGTCCAGCCAGTCAGTGGCTGGTCTGTCGATCCATTTGGACACGGTGCAGCTGTACCGTACCTACTACAAGAATCGGGAGTTAAAGCAACAGTTGTGCAGCGAATACATTATGCTTGGAAACAATGGTTAGCAGAGCAGCAGCTAGGAGACTTTCAGTGGAGACAGGTGTGGGACTCTACTGGAGAAAATGATATCCTTTGCCACAACCGCCCATACGATATCTACTCTATAAAACATTCCTGTGGACCACATCCCCAGATATGTCTTGGATATGACTTCCGCAAGGTAGGCGAATACAAAAACCTTTAGCAATTTAAATTTCCCAGGTTCTTTAATACTGTTCAGTCTTAATGTTAATCACTGTATAATTACAAAAATTATGGCTAGGACTTAAACAAACACACTTATGCATTACAGTAGTATTAATTATGATCTTTCCACTACTACAATGAACTGGTAAGATACATTTTAAGTACTGTACTGATATTTTAAAGATCGCAATGAGATCAGCCCTGTTATTTCTGGTTTGCAGTGATGTTAGTCCTGTGGCCCTCAACTGTTCCTGGTATGAGAACTGACTTAGCTCTAGAATGATTTTTGTTGCAAGGATGCCAGTGTTGAATTTTCTATAACACACACGTGTCTTTCAAGGTGAGGCCTCCATGCCTCCATTATACAGTAGTCCAGATGGGGGCTCACCAGGGACTTGTATAATACTGGATTTCCTGAGCCATTATGTATCAGTAGGCCTAATAAAAAAGGTGGTGGCACAGCTATATATTACCGAGATACATTAATCTGCAACAGTGTTATTAGTGACAGAGATGACTACTGTGAATATACTTTTGCTCAGTTTACAATTAAATCCCTTAAATCCTCTTTGACTATTGGAGCCATCTATAGATTTCCTAATACTAACATAGCTTCTTTCTCAGACAACCTAAGGAATCTTATTATAAACAACAATCTCAACAAAAACCACATCATTCTGGGAGGAGACTTTAATATTGACCTGGGTCAACAAAACTGCTCTCAAGTTGACTATTTCCTTAACAGCATGAACTCCTGTATGCTAATCCCCACTATCACCAAACCTACCCGAGTCACTCAAACATCAGCCACTACCTTGGACCACATATGGACAAACATAACAGCTCCCCTTGTATCTGGTATAATCTACGACAGAACAACTGACCACTATCCTACCTTTCTCATAGCGAACATGGACTTAACACCACCAAAAAGCAAGAAACTTTCATTTAGGCTACACAGTGAATCAGCTTTAGACAATCTTACAGAGGCACTTCACAATATTAACTGGGATTCTGAATTCAATAATACCCATGATATAAATTCATTAGCTAACCTCTTCCTCTCCAAAACTCTAAGCCTCTACAACCTTCATTGTCCCCTTCTTACAAAGCAAGTAACTGACAAAAGATTAAACAATCCATGGCTCACAAGTGGCATTCTCAACTCAATCAACAAGAAACATGAATATGAAAAGAAAGTTAGGATTGGCCTAGTTTCAAGGGAAGTAGCTAAAAGGTACTCATCAATGCTTACCAGTATCATAAGAAAGGCAAAACTTGCATATTATGTGAATAGATTCAATGAAGCAAAAGGCAACATGAAAAACACTTGGAAAACTATCTCTAGTATCCTAGGAACTAAACAACACTCACATAACCAAATAAAACTCTACAAGGATGGGGATATACCGTCAACTGATTTAGAAATGGCAAATGAATTTAATAGTTTCTTTTCATCGGTTGGTGCTAATCTTGCCAGTAAAATCCCACAGACTCAGACACATATTAACACATATCTCTCAGGCAGCTATCCAAACTCTCTTCTCCTTTCACCAATCAGCCCGGCAGATGTTGTGTCCATCATACACTCTCTAAAAACCAAGGCAGGGAACACCAGTGAAATTCCGTCCATTGTGTACAAGAGAGCCTCCCATGCCCTTGCCCCACCCATAGCACTACTGTTCAACAAATCTATAGAGTGTCACACCTTCCCTGATATCCTCAAAAAAGCAAGAGTAACGCCAGTCCATAAAGGAGGCAATCCGGCGGACATAAACAATTATAGACCAATATCAAATCTACCCATTCTATCAAAAATATTTGAAAAAATTATTTACAAACAGCTCTATTCCTACCTCGTAAAATTCGACATACTCAGCCCCTGCCAGTTTGGCTTCCGGTCCCAAAAGAGTACCAATGATGCAATCATTAGTCTCCTTGACATTATCTACTCAGCCCTTGACAAAAATGAGTTTCCGATTGGACTCTTCATTGACCTAAGAAAAGCCTTTGATACTGTTAATCACAACTACCTCTTACTTAAACTCCAGCATTATGGAATCCGAGGCCTTGCCCTTGACTACATCCGATCCTATCTTAGTGACAGACACCAATATGTAACCATCAATGATACAACTTCTTCCACTCTACCAATTACCGTTGGAGTGCCACAGGGCAGCATCTTAGGACTTCTTCTATTTCTTATATATATAAACGATCTGCCTAATGTCTCTAATATTCTCAAACCTATATTGTTTGCTGACGATACTACCCTTATCTACTCAAACCTCAACCCACATACACTAAATAATGTTGTGAATAATGAATTAAAAAAAGTCCACTTATGGATGTCAACGAACAAACTAACATTAAACATCGAAAAGACTTACTACATCTTATTTGGAAGCAAATCATCAAATGCAATTCAGCTACAGATAGACAACATTAACATCAGTAATAAAAATGATGGCAAGTTTCTTGGCCTATTCCTAGACAAGAGACTCAACTTCAGCACCCACATTCAAAACATAACTAAGAAAGTCTCTAAGACAGTTGGTATACTCTCCAAAATCAGATATTATGTTCCTAACTCTGCTCTCCTCTCACTATATTATGCACTAATTTACCCCTATCTTAATTATGGTATCTGTGCATGGGGGTCTACCACTGCAAACCACCTTAAGCCCATCATCACACAGCAAAAATCTGCTATCAGAATAATAACTAACTCTGCTTTCAGACAACACTCAGCTCCCTTGTTTAAATCTCTAAACTTGCTAAATATTAACTCCCTCCACACATTCTCTTGTGTCAACTACATTTACAAAACCCTGTTCTTAAATGCAAACCATGCTCTGAAACTCTCCCTGGACAGATGTAATAGGACCCATTATCACCACACCAGAAATAAATATCTCTTTGATATCCCCAGGGTCAAACTTAATCTGTGTAAACACTCTATGCAAATTAAGGGACCTAGTCTATGGAACTCACTCCCTAGTGAATTGAAAAACTGTAAAACTTTTGCCTTATTTAAAAGCAAAACCAAAAAGTACCTAACTTCATCTATTTAGTTTCCTACACTGAGCTTTAAATTTGCTCTGTACCTAGTGGTACCCAATCTCCTAATTTTTATGTAATATCAAACAACCTTATCATTGTGTTCATTGCTGTCTTCTTTTATGTGCTAGCCATATGCTGTATTGTGACTACCAATTTTTGTCAACTACCATTCAAGCTGTCATTGCAATCAATCTTATATTGTTTCTGCTGTATTGTGCCTACCAATTTGTTGTCAACTACCATTTTAAGCTGTCATTGCAATCAATCATAGCTACCTATGTGCTTTAATATACTCTACCTATAATTTTCTCTCATCTTTTTTTTTTTTTTCATTCCATGTAATCTGTTATCATTTTTTTGTCTATAAATTTTGCAAGTATTTACCTCCTTAAAATTTTCTTAGATTAAGGACCTGCCCGAAACGCTGCGCGTGCTAGTGGCTTTACAAGACTGTAATTATCATAATTGTATCCTCACATTCCTTATGTACATTCTTGTATATGCATAAATAAATAAATAAATAAATCAGCAGTTGAGATTCAAACATTAGAGGAAAAAATTAAGCTACATGGATTCTGTATCCTCATGCCCAAGAAAACTACAGGAATTCCTTAGTGTGGTAAACTATACCTGCTTGATGGGGTTTTGGGAGTTCTTTTACTTCCCAAGCCCGGCCCGAGGCCAGGCTTGACTGGTGAGAGCTTAGCCCAACAGGCTGTTGCTTGGAACAGCCCGCAAGCCCACATTTTCACCACAGCCCAGGTCCAGCACTTCTTGAAGAATACTATCTAATTTTCTCTTTAAGATGTCTACAGTTGTTCCGGCAATATTTCTCATACTCGCTGGGAGGATGTTGAACAACCGTGGACCTTTGATGTTTATACAGTGTTCTCCGATTGTGCCTATGGCACCCCTGCTCTTCATTGGTTCTATTCTGCATTTTCTTCCATATGGTTCACTCCAGTATGTTGTTATTTTACTGTGTAGATTTGGGATCTGGCTCGCCAGTATTTTCCATGTGTATATTATTTGATATCTCTCTCGTCTTCTTTCTAGTGCTGTGGAGGGCCCATTTGGAGGGCTTTGAGACTATCCCAAAAATTTAGGTGCTTTATCGTGTCTATGTATACCATATATGTTCTCTGTACACCCTCTATTTCAGCATCAATCTTTTACCACCAATTTATCCCACGCTGTTTAGACATCCTGTGATATCCCCATCTCTGCTGTCAAAACTATATTGTTCCAAACATTCAGGTCTGATAGGAGAGAAATTACTGACTCCCAACAATCTGAAAGCACCAGTATAAAAAACTATGATTTGTTCCGATCTGAAACCTATGTTTATGGGCAGTACAAAACATCCACCTGATTGTGCAACACAGTGGTTGCTAGGATCAGGTTGGGGTACCATTACCTGTGGCAGGTGGCTACAGGTGACGGATCTCCCAATCCTGAGCACTCCAGGTGCAAACTCTGTGAACAGGAACTGGGGCATGATCTCCCACGCTACATCACCGAATGTCCAGTTATCAGACCATTCAGACATGGTACCATGGCATGAGGTACCTGGAGCTTTGTAATTACTTTATTCACTCTTGTGTTCTTGAGGATATCCTCATATTGCACATAGATTTTGCTAGTGCAGACTACTGTTCACATGCCTTTGTATGACTAACCATCCTGTGTGATGGGAGTTTTATTAGCATCATGTAGCTAGCTTTTTGACACACACTGTACTTCCTTTCATATAGCCTAGGGTAGCTGCACAAATTCAGATGTACCTAAATGTGTCTGGAGTTCTCTGGTTAGATAAAAAAAATGGCTCGGCCTGTCACCGCATCAGCATACTATTCATCACCAACCTCAGTAACAAAGTTATATCAAATATATATTTTTTACCATACTGTGTTTGTTGTCACTAAAAACTAATGTTACAGCCCCATTGTCTTGGTTCCCTGTCCCAAAGCATTTCTCAGGTTGTCCTCAAAGTCTAGCTAACTTGTGATCTACCTTCAGGCCCATGATGTTTGTAAATACAGGCTTTGACCACCATCTTTAACATGTCCTGGGCTGACATTTGGGGCTCTGGGGTTTTGGCATTTTAGCAAAGTTATGGTGGCCAGGGTTTTAATCAGGGCTCCTGGTCCCAATCAGATGTGTGCTGCTTTGGACCATGTTTCTCAGCCTGGGGTTTTCTTTTTCATCGTAGTGCCTGCTGCCTCTCCTCCTTCCTAGTACAGGAATTCTTATTTTTGTTCTCTGGTTAGATAACTATAGGGAGCCACCAGGGGCCTCCCTCCAGAAACCCAGCATTGAATGTAATGAAATGCCTCTTCCTAGAGTACCTGCAGTGGCTCCCTGATTTTCTCCCCCTCCCTCCAGGTTTGTTGGCTCGTTGTGGGCTGTTCAACTCCATAACAGAGGTGGGGAGGCGACTGAGGGCTGAGGCCAGGCTGCCTGGTGATGGTAATTGGTACTAATGAGTTTCAATCTAGCTTGAGTGAATCCCTTGTTCTGTATGAATTGTTCATAGAGGTGTTCGGTGGTTTCAAGATTTCATTTTCTGTGAACCCTCCAGTTATCTGTAAGGCTTCAATGACTTCCTGGTGGCTTTTTTCAGTAGGGTGGCAAATTGTCACACGCTCCCTCTGCCTCTGCAAGAAGGCCATGTTCTGCCCAGATTATGGAGGCCAAACACAACTAATGCAATTAATGTGAACTATTAGTATGGAGCAATCTCGGCAAGATTTTCTTCAGGGAGCCAAGTGGATTCCTCCAAAAAAAGAGAGTTTCATTACATTCACTGCTGGCTGTTTTTTGAAATTTTAAGATTAATTAAATATGTTCTTAAGACTTATCATAAACCTTGTCTTTTATTTAACTTTTAATGAGTTATTGGTTCTGGGTCAGGTTGTCCGTATGGACTTTCTAAGATCCATAAACAAACAATTAGACCAATAATATGTTCTGTTTGCATTTTTATTAAAAGTAAAGTACAGGTATTGTAGTTAAATTTTGGGTACCACTTATATTTTAATGAGAATAAGTGTATTATTGATAATTATTCACAATTTGTTTACAAAAACTTGTAAGTTAAAGGTGTATAGCTGTGTACAGTAGTTTTGACTAATGTGCATGCTTAGTCGTTATTTATAAATGTCCCATTTAAAGAAATTTCACCCAATTTTAAATGATCTAACAGTAATTTTGGTTTGAATAAGAAATGGGTTTGTAAATTGTTTTAGATTACAACTTCAGATTAAGTTTTACATTTGATGGAAAAATTGTAATTACCAATAGATTACAACTAGTTGTTGTATTCTATCCTGTATGCCTGTTAGAATGGAAGGGAGTACTACCTCTGGCTGGAAGAAGGGGACCCTTAGCCTCGGAGGAAACCACACAATGCATTAAAGGGAATGTTTAGGTTCCCTCCAATACAGTTTCTGTGTACTTTTCTCCTACCATCTGCTTCCTTTTGTGTTTTTTTGTGCTTAAAGGTTTCAAGATATACATTAGTTGATACATTGAGTGCATAAAGGTTATGGATCTCTTGAAGCTCCTCTGCTTCCGGACAGGAACTGAGGATGCAGCCTGCATTTCCCCTCTGGATCGACACATTGAGGTGCTGAAACAAAAAACTGGCAGCACTTGGGTCTCTGGTGACATCAATGAGCCTGGAGCTCAATTCCTTGAAGCATCCCAAGGCACCCTTACCTCAGGGGCCATGCATCTCAGACACTATGGGAACAAAGGTGTATTGACCTTCCAATCACCTGTATTTGACTGATTTTGCTGTTTCCCTGTGGTTGGCTGCCCCCACCTGCTTGATCAGCAACGAAGTGTATATAGGTGTCAGCCAGGGTGTATACTCGTGTAGTCCCACACCAACTGTTTGCCCCTTTTCCAGGGGTAAATAGTGATGCCATCAGGGCGAAGTGCTGGGTCATCCGGGTTTTGTCCCTCTAGGGTGTGAGGTTCTCTCTCTGCTAGGCACTGAGCTGAGACAAAGCTCCTCTTGATGATGTCATTGACCTCGTTGTGTCTTGCATGCCAGCCCTTTATGCTTCCGCAATGCAACCCATGCAGTCCATATTGGTCTGCTTTCACCCTGTTGCAAATACACTTGTATTCAGTGTGAATTGGGGCACCAAGGCGGAGGGCCACTGCTACACAAAGGAAATCTGGATCTAGACGCATGCCCATTGCCGACATGGGTACTGCCAGGAGGAAGTCTCCTGCATGTGGGAGCAGGCAGCGCTCTTGAGTTTTTTTATTTATTTATATCATTATATATTATATTATCTATCTATCTATCTGTCTCACTCATTCTTAAGTTATATTTCCTGACAATTAAGTTCACATTTCTGGAAAAATTGGAGTGGACAGTCACAAGTGAGAGCTTGAAAAAATAAATTGAATTTTCTGGATGGGTGATTTCCTTCAGACAAAAGGATATACCTGTAATTCATTTGTGAACTACTTCATCAAGTGTTGGTGTGGTCATCAGTCCTGATATGAGATTGCAAAGAATGGAAGATGGACATTCCAAGATTTGTCTTGAACATTTCCTCTATTAACAGTTAAGCTTACCATGTTTAGCATTTTGAGGGTTTCATCCATACAAGCTTAGACATTGACTGTTTAACTTTAATTTCGACCAGGCATCAAGATGACCAAATTCCCTTGTAATGACATTTGTTGTAACAGAACGTAAAAGTTCTATGCTGTGGTTAACTTTAAAAATTGTCAATGATTTGCAATTTGTTTTAAACTTATTTTTATTTGCTAATAACTATTGATTACTAATATGCTGTAATACTTTGCAGGTTCCTGGGGAATATACAGAATATACCATAAAATCTGTGCCTATAGATGATCACAATGTAAAGAAAAAGGCTGAACTTCTTTTGGAACAGTATGGACGCACAGGGTCGCTTTATCCTCATAATGTTGTCCTTGTCCCTATAGGCGATGATTTTCGTTATGATCATGCTTCGGAATGGGATCAACAGTACACTAGCTATCATCGTCTTTTGACTCACATCAACAGTGACCCAAAATATCATGCCACAATTCAATTTGGAACACTTAAAGATTATTTTGCAGAAGTACAAAATCGAATGCGTGATTATCCTAGCCTTCAGGGTGACTTTTTTGTGTATAGTGATATCTTTAGTGAAGGTCGACCCGCTTACTGGAGTGGTTATTATACTACCAGACCTTATTGGAAGGTTTTGGATCGACAGTTAGAAGCTTCTTTACGATCTGCAGAGATCCTGTACACCTGGGCATATGCTTGGGCAGTGCAGGAAGGCCAAGCTAGAGTGGTTCAACTCTTAGAAAAAGATTATGAAAAATTAGTGCGTGCTAGGAGAAATTTGGCACTCTTTCAACATCATGATGCCATTACAGGGACATCTAAAGCTTATGTGATGCATGACTATGCTATTAAGCTTCATGAGGGGTTGCATGATACCTTGGCACTGGCTGGTGAAGCAGCTGAAGCCCTGCTTCTGACACCAGCGGCTATGGCTGCTCTCGACCATCGAGCAGCACCTCTCCATCACCTTCATCCAGATTTTGAACGTTCAACGTATGAGCGATTACCTCGCAAACTGCCATTAGCTATACCACGCAGTCAGCCTCGCCTTATAGTAATGTTCAATTCTCTGGGGCAACGCCGGTATGAAGTAGTTAAAGTTTTGGTTTCTTCCCTTGATATTAGGGTGACTGAGGAGCATGGTCATGATGTACCCATCCAAATTAATCCAGTATGGAATGATACTGGAAATGGCATGTCCATCCTCTCTTCACAATTTGAGTTACTCTTTGTTGCAGATTTGCCAGCACTGAGTGTGATTACTTATAGTATTCACCACACATCTAGACCTACAACAGATTTACGTGCATCAGTGTATTCTAATAATTATGCTCCTGCTCCGGATCAAAACTACTCTCCGCCTTTTGAAACACGTGATGTCCTGCCTGGTGATATTCAGCTCGAAAGTGATCACCTCAAATTATTGTTTGATGGTACAACAGGTATGCTGCGTTCCATCACAGACAAAACCAGTGGTCGTGTCACACAGACTGCAGTACGATATGCAGCATACCCTTCTGCTCAGTTTAAATCGGGGGCTTATTTATTTAAGCCTGACCCAAATGCCCGAGAGCCTGAAGAAGATGTATTGGCAGGTGCAAAGCCACGCCTGTTCATTCATTCTGGTCCAGTGGCATCAGAACTGAGTGTGATGTTTGGATCAGTACTAATGCACACAACTCGCATCCTTCATGTAACCCACCAGCCTCTTGCATCTGCTGTTTATATGGAAAATGTGTTTAATTTAGGTGCCCGTTACAATAGTACCGAGACGCCTGGTTTTCCACCTCATTTCCGTGAAACAGAAATGTTTATGCGTATTATGACAGACATTGACAATGGTGCAGAACCTACTCTTTATACAGACCAGAGTGGCCTCAATATGCAAAAACGTGTGCGTGTTCAGCGTATTGGTATACAAGGTAATTATTTCCCTATTACTTCAGCTGCAATGATTGAGGACAATGGACCTGGAAGGCGACTCACATTGCTCACAGACCATGCTGCTGGAGCTGCAGCCTGGCAACAAGGTTGGCTTGAAGTAATGGTGGAAAGAAGAACTTTTTATGATGATGCTCGTGGTATGGGTGAGGGAGTGACAGATCAGAAACGTACTGTAGGTCGGTATTGGTTGTTAGTAGAGGATACGCGGGGCCCAGAACCAGTGGCTCGTCTGTCTCTTGCAGCTCATTACCTTGCCAATGACCTTAATTATCCAACTACTCAACTTATCAACGAAGGTCTTGATGCCGACCAACTTAATTCGGTGGCACATCTCATAACTCGTCCACTGCCTTGTACACTGCACCTGGTGACTTTGCGCACCTTACCAGAGCCACAGTACCCAAGTTTGTTACCATCCCGCACAACACTGATGGTAATTCAAAACCAGTCGCCTTCCTGCACAACCTCTGCTTCTGTCTCTACCTGCAATGGATTAGGGGACTCTCCCTTTCCTGGCACTGAACTCACACTGCAGGTCAGTAAAATCTTTTCCTTTATATCTTAGTCATCTAGATAATACAAGATGGCTTAAATAATATCCAAAATTTAAACATTAAATATTACAGATTAACAGAACTGCTGTTGTAAACTACACAAAATTTCATGTATATTTTCCCTTATTTACTAAATTATGTAATGCACGTTTCTGGTGTTTTATCATGTGAGGTAACATTATGAGTCATTTCATGCAATGCAAGTTGAGATCCATCTCTAAATGAATGCATTTTCACAGTCTAAGATGCAATGCTTTGGTGCATCTTACAATATTAGTAATAAAATTAACAATCTTATTAACAAGATGTTATTAATATATCAACCTGATTTCTTGAATAGTACATTGCATTTTGACATATAAATCCCTAACAGGCAAAAAAAAACATGTACGAAAAACACAGTGGCTAGCAAAATTGACTTGAATGTCCCATTTTCCCTTTATGGGTCCTTGATTAGATTAGGTTTGGGCAATTTAGCACATCAGTTTAGTGACGTTGGCAATGCTCAAGAGAATGGGATGACTATATAAGAAAGTTTCAGAGAATTTAAAGGTTTATACAGTTTGAGCAGGAGTTTAATTTCAAGTTTTATTTCACAGATTGCCAACATGCAGCGAACGTCTTTGACAGCAACCAGTAGCAAGGGACCCCTAGCAACCCTGCCAGACCTTATTGTTCCTCACCACAGGCTTAGGGCTGTTACTTTAACCTTTCCCCATCCACCTACTCCTCCTCCACCTGCTGAATAAACTATTACACATCTTTAAAAAGGTCTGTTATTCTCCTTGAATATCTACTTGCTCTGCTTTCACTAAATGACACTCTTGGTTTCCATCTTTAATGTACTCATTTGCTCGGGGCTCTCTGCACACTTGGTGCTTTTTACATAGTGGATTAAATTCCACCAAATCTGCCAAAGCCAAAGTATATTGCATCCACATAACATGTACTGAGTTTGCAAATCCAGTTAATATCATTTTTATATGCACTGTATACACTTTATTTGGAATAAAGTTTTGGAAAATTAAAGACAAGAAACATGAAGGTTGCAAATTATTTATCCAGCCAGTAATCCAAAATAAATAATTATGTGCAACAAATGACCCACAATTAAATGCTATTCTCGGCCTAATATACCTGTCTGCCAACGGTGAGTGGATCAATGCTGCTAATTGGGGTGGACATCTATTAGTACTGGTAAGTGATGAGGACGTAGGAGTTGTAGCTACTGTATTATCGTAATTTACAAATGTTTCATAGCGAAATTCATTCAGTAAATGAAGTGATAATCTTGTTCAATTTGTGGGAAATCAGAATCCACCTGAACCTGATTTTATGCACCTCACAGTGATACTAAGGTAATTAGGGCTTTAATTAGATGGTTTTAGATGGAATATGTAGCTGTACCAGGGTAGTGAAATGGTTAAAGTGATGAAGACAGTATGTAGTGAAGATGATTATAGTGATGAGGATGGTTGTGTGTGGTTTACATGGTTTTAGTGTAGTTTTTTTTGTAGTTAAAATTGATTGAGTGTAGTATCATGAGTACCTGTAGTCATGATGGTTACAATGGGGAAAGATTGCATGCGGTCTTTGCTGGAAATGTATTAGTGGCTTTAGTATATACTAGATATATCTATAAATTCAACATTCTGTATGTAACTCATTTTGTATGTATGTAATTTTACCTGAATAAATATTATTATTATTATTATTATATGGTTACAGTGATGAAGATGTAACGGTTCTATTGTTACGTAAAGTATGGTGACAATAAACACAAACACTAAGATAATATATATATTTGGTCGAATAGCTACAAAGATAATATGCGGTACAGCTGTTGCTCGGGTGATCAATGCCACAAGGTTTCCCCTTAATACTGTATAGACAAGAAATTAATAGAGAAGTAACTCCAGTGAGCCAATTTACAGGGAGGCAAGGGAATTATCAGGGGAAAGTGCCAAGCCATTACGACTAAGTTGCCTCCCCCCCTCCTCAACAGTGTGCCCTGGAAATAATTCCGGGTCGTACATTAGATAAACACACACCTTTCAATGGCACCTAAAAGGATGCGATTTCTGTCTTTGCCCTTGATGCTGGTTAAATGCGAAAAAATTAAACACGAAAATTATTTAAAAAATGCATTTACATATGATTAGAATTATCCCTCTATTTATCATTCTCTCTTGTCTAACCTCTTGTTACCCGGGTGTACAGCAGGGCGAGCAGGCCGCCCGGGCCGGCAAGTTGTCCACGGGCTCCACACATTGTTTATGTAAGTAACTATAGCTCCCATTATCGTCCCTAGACTACACCACCATAGCTGAGAAAGGGCCCACTCATCAAGAGAGTGACTGAAGCTAAAGGAAGAACCCTATATATATGTGCAAGTGTATTAAAGCCAAATTTTCGGATGCAACCCTACATCCTTGCTCAAGGGGGGTGTAAAGAATGTTCTGAATAAGATTGAAGAAGTTTTAAAGAAAATTAAGCCCCCCCCCCTAAGAGGTGGCATAAATAACCCGTAAGTGGTAGATTTTTTGGAGTGAATGTGATCTTTGGTCGTGAAAGGCCCATACTGTGTGTTGAGCTCACATTTAAATCGTCAACTATGTGGCTGCTATTGCGGGTTGGGGGGAGGGGGGGGGATACTGCTTGACAACACAGTATTTATGAGGGTGTCAAGCGATTGCATGCCTTGTTTGACCAGAAGAGTGGCAGTGTTGATGGCTTCAGGGTGGTTACTGCAAGATTCAGGGACTCTTAACCCCTTAACTGCGTTGCCTCCAAATGTGACACCCCCGCAGTGCGCAGGAAATAAATTCTCTGGAAAAAATTCTTTTTTCTTTTTAAAGTGTCAAAAACCCTTCCCTCAGTATGGGTATGTAAAAAAAAAGTCGAAATTGTACTTACTTTGGCTGCTATGGGGTCCGGAAGTTGGGGCGTGACGTCATCATTCCCCGTGCCCCCGTGCCATAAGCTCACTGGGGGAGGTGGGGCGCTCGGGGCGGGGCGCGCGAGTTGCCGCAAATATATTTTCGTTCATTTTTTGTGCACCTTTCCAAATACATTTTCATTGTTTTTATGTGCCAATCCAATGTATAATGAACACGTACACTATAATATCGCAGTACAACATCCGTACTGTCCGTAGACACTGTGTTACGTGCATGAAACTTGTGTACACATATGCAGCACATATTTACTATGTATCATGCTAATTTGTGTATATATACAATCTATTTACACACTATACACTGTCACACACTATATACATTCACCATCAACACATTCAGAACACCGCATAGCAGCTACTTCGTATGGGCCAATAGCAGCTGCCTCGTATGGGCCAATACCAGCTGCCCCGTATGGGGCAATAGCAGCTGCCCCGTATGGGCCAATAGCAGCTGCCTCGTATGGATCAATAGCAGCTGCCTCGTATGGGCCAATAGCAGCTGCCTCGTATGGGCCAATAGCAGCTGCCCCGTATGGGCCAATAGCAGCTGCCTCGTATGGGCCAATAGCAGCTGCCTCGTATGGGCCAATAGTAGCTGCCTCGTATGGGCCAATAGCAGCTGCCCCGTATGGGATAATAGGAGCATTTGGCCATGAACACATTCAGAACACCTTGAGTGAGAGCAGCCAGACCCAGCCAGTCTCCCTCACTCCAACATCTTACTCGCCAACATTGCTCCTCCCACCATATTGTTATAGTTCTTATTACACATGTTCTATATACCTATCTATATGTTTTATTTACCAGAACTATGCAAGTAAGCCGGTATTGTGTCCAAACAGTACAGTGGCCACCATACACTGCATGAAAAATCACACAGCAGACGACGCTACGATTACGTCACCTCCCTCACGAAAATAGCTCCTCTCAACATTCTCCTGTTCTTACACTATATACACACACTATATATACCCATGTACATACGTGTTGCCCATAGCGAACCACTAAGCTAGTATGGTGAGCAAAACAAGAGTGGCAGCCACACACACACAATGAGGCTACCTCAATTCTCGCCCTCCCTCCCTCATCAAAATTCCTCCTTCCACAGTACTACGCACAACGCTAATTATAACCACAATCCTGCTATTATCACAATCCTGGTCACTAATTCCTGTAAATGAATAATTGACCACACATTTATTTTGAAAAGGAACCTAAGAAATCATTTGAAGATTAATAGATGAACAAAATAATGCTGTGGTGCTGTGGCTAGCACTGTGAACATCGTGAACAGCATTGAATCACTGATATTTGAACATTGTACCTAGTCATTATCACACTCAGGCTCTAATATAACACTATCATAGCTAAATAATACAAGTTATATATATATTTTGACATTTTTAGGCGATGCTGTGGTCGCATGCTGAACAGGAGTGCTGTGCGCTCATGCTGCGAGCACCAGCCTTGGTTGCTCACACACTACTGAGGCTCCCACACCCGGGAATGTGGACCACGATTTTTTTTAAAGATGGCGTCTGTTTACAAGAGCCCTGAGGAAGCTGATGTGAACCCCATGTAGCCGCGGGAGTTTTGAATGGAACGTGAAAAATACAAATACCCGGAGGCGCGTTGCGCAAACCAGACGTGAGCCTGCAGGCGCGTTGCGCAGTTTAAGGGTTAAAGCTTTTCTAAGGTCCTTGGTTGCTTCCTATTCCAGGAGATGGTGAAGTAGGGGCTGTGATTGTTTGGCATTCAAGGTTCTATGTGGCTGTTTAAGATTCAGCTACTGGGAACAAAACGTTCCAAGTAGCACGGGCTATGGTGAGCCCGTAGTGGACTTACCTGGCACAGGAGTGGGGCTGTAACTGTGTAAGGGATCTTACACAGTTACACAGATGTATCTTGAGATGATTTCGGGTAGCACGTATAGGCTTATACACCTATATAAAGCCTTTTTATGCCTGCCGTTTATACCTGTCGGCCGACACGATGAATTAAATACAAGGCTGATCTCAGCAAGATATTAAAAACGCCCAAAGAATCATAAAGACAAGCCGTCGGCTTCCTGTCCTCGTCGAGCCCACTAGTGTGTTAGTGGCCCTCAGGTAAATGTTAATCCAGACGACTTGAAAACACAAGAGAAAGCAGAATGCAGTGCTTTAGGCTCCTCCTTGAACTAGATGGCGTCACGCCATCTATGTTTTGACAGTATCACTACTAATTGACTTACGTTACTTGACTATCAATATACGGCTCTGTTGACATTGTTTTTTGTGGACAACATGGGTAATGTGAGGCGAGGGTCAGGCTGTAGAGGCAGTATGTTTCTAAGCACTTTTGTGTTCTGCTGCAGTGGATTTTGATGGCTGTTGTACGGTAAGTGTGATCATTTTTGGTGGTTTTTATTTTTTAAGTAACGCTCGCTTGTTGTATTACTAATGTGTATGATTTTGGGTGACTACATTCGGGGAGTGTAGTGGTTTTTTTATGTTTATTCTTCTTCTTGTTGATAGTAGGTGCAGTTTGCATTAATGGTACTTTGTCCTCCCGATGACTGCACCAGTACTGATGTTGGTGGACGCGTTTATGTATGTTTATTCAAGTCTGTTACAAAAGTCAGATGTTTTGGAAATGACGTGGTATAATTGGTTAAGGCGTGGATGCTTGTTGTGTGCTGTTGGCAGTTAGGTAGGGCGTAGAGCTCGAAAGAGGGGCGGGAGCGATACTGTGTTACATAGTACGCTTGAGAATGTTGATGGTGAGTGATTTAATTGTTGCCGACGGAGGCGTTGAAGATCGCCAGTAATTTGATGCAGACAAATCTACCATCATGAAGTACTTGCATGTGTAATTTGGGGATATGCGCCTTTAAGCATTTATCTGAAGGCACTAAAATTGACAAATAGTGATCCATTCATTAATTTGTTAGGCTTGTATAGATACTTCCGTGACTTGACGATATTCAGCCAAACTATAGTTTACATTTCTGTACTTGTTGTAGGGTAGGGTATTTTGGCGCAGTATGGTCTATATATTATATATGTAGTACGGTGTTTATAGAATTCAGGGGTAACTACCTTGA